GGGGGGGGGGGGGGGGGGGGGGGGGGGGGGGGGGGGGGGGGGGGGGACCAGCATTCACAAAGCCTTAGGCAGGTTTTACCCCTTTGTCCAAAGCTCAAGCCATGGCAATCGTCCAGCATCCCACAGCAACCTCCAAAGCCCAGTTGCATGAAAGATCGGACAGTGCACATCCATATCAGTCCCGAATGCTCAACTGAAATCAGCAATCCTTAGAGTCCTGCAGCTAGCTTTGTTCTTCCATCCTGGCCATTCATAGATTCCCTTATGAGTCAGCCATGAATGAAATAAGCCCAGAAATCATCAGGCTCTTTTCCTTCTTCAACAACCTGGTCCGCCATATCCGAAGCAACCGCACCAAGCAAAGCCGACACCGTGCAAAGCCTAACACATGAGCACATGACAAAGCTAAATTAACATAATGTTTGGAAGGAATACTGAATCTGGCATATGAATAAGCCCAGATTCAGTATTCCTTCCAAACATGAGTGATAAAAAGGCAACAAAATGAGATGCAAGGTACCTGCAGGACTGAAGAGGCACCACTGCCCCCATTCATGCTTTATGTATAATGACTCTTTTTGATTCAATGGGGACACTGGACCCGCATTCCAGCAGGTGATGCTCCCCACCAATAGACTGGAGCCACCCTTAAGGGTAGATAGGAATGCATCCCTATATCATCACTCCTATCTGTCGCAGAGGGTGTTCTTTTTTTTTTTTTTTTTAAAAAAAAAAGAAAAGGTACCTGCAGGACCTTCGGACTCTCACAGTCTGTTCTCAGGCGAAGCCCGGTAATGGCCCCGGTTATATGGGACGCTGGCCCCAGTTTCCAGCATGTGCTGCTCCCCACCGTCGCATTTCTTCCAAAAACAAAATGGTGCCTTCATGAATACGCACTGATCAAAGGGTTTGAATCACACAAGAGTACTAAAATGTGAAGGGCTATCCTCTGTATTAAACCACCAGTACGTTTTCCAGCCATTTTTCCCCAAGTTTCAGTGGTCAGCCTATTAGAGCAAAATGGCTGGTCGTGCCAGCGAAAAGGACTGTACGGGTTCTATTTTGTCTGGCGCACTGTGTTTCCTAGGATCGGCAAAGGGAAGGGTCAAAAGTACTGGTGGTTTAATGTTTTTTTTTTTTTTTTTTTTTTGAAACATCATAGGTTACGTCCGTCGCGCCAGCGAAAAGAAGGCCTGTGCGGGTTCGATTTTGTCTGACGCACTGCGTTTCCTAGGCTCGGCCAGGGAAGGGTCAAAAGTACCGGTGGTTTAATGTTACGTATGTCGTAATGACCCACACAGAAGTACTAAAATGTGAAGAGCCATCCTCTGTATTAAAGCACCAGTACACCACATATAGGACCGCGGGTGTCAGCATGAAACCCGCACCACTTCGGAGGCCGCCGGTTTTTTTTTTCAACGGCGGGCCTGGCCACACAGCGCCTCCGAGTTTTGCTTGTGGCGACAAAAACTTTCTGCAAGGCTGGGGCCGTGTACTAGCGGCTTAAACCACCAGTACGTTTTCCAGCGGTTTTTCCCCAAGTTTCAGCGATCGGCCTATTGGAGCAAAAATGGCTGGTCACGCCAGCGGAAAGAAAAGGCCTGTGCGGGCTCGATTTTGTTTGACGCACAGCGTTTCTAGGCTCGGCAAGGGAAGGGTCAAAACTCAAAAGTACTGGTGGTTTTATGTTACGTATGTCGTAATGACCCGCATAAATTGCAGTCTGGGAATTCTGCACTTTTCTCAGAAATTGCTGTCTTTTCCATCTTTTTTTTTTTTGCTCAGACTTCCAAGTGTGAGTCTGTTCACTGTGTTTTCTTCCCTAGTATGTGTGTGATCTGCCAATGACGAGTCCCGAGTTCAATTCCGAGTCCAAATCTGAATCATATATATGCTATGTTATGGTATGCTTTACTGTCCAGTCCTGAGTGCAAGTTTGAGTCTGTGTTGTGTGTCTGTGACTCGGACAAGGACAAAATTGAAATAGGGGTACAATCAGAGGGATGGCGGGGGGAAGTTATCCATAGGAGCATACTTGGGGGGGTTAGAAGGACGGGCAATGGCATAGGTAAGGACCACAGAGCAAAAGGACATAGCGGTACAAGGACATGACAAAGGTAAGGATAACAGGACAAGAGGAGGCGGGTATGAGAAAAGCAGGGGCACAGGGACAAAGGCGGTAGGTAATAAGGACGTAAGAAAGGGCAACAGGGCAGAGGAGGAGGGCTGATGAGTAAATGTTGACAACAGCAAGGGAAAACAGGCTACACCTGGTTCCCAGCACTTGCTGATCCATAATCAGAATATTCTATCATCGTGAGCAGGACGATATAGATTGAAAGTCCGGTTTTTGGAATTCCTTCAGGATCTGCAGTTCAGCAGAACTTCCTACAAATTTCCCTCTATTTACTTCAAAAGGTGGAAGAGGTAGTACTGCTAGCAATATCACGGTTATCTGGCGGCCAATTTCTGGCTGAAGAGGCAGCTCTTCCTGTTCTCATCAACTTCATCTTATATCAGCATCAATTGTATGAGGGACGCTGGACCCGATTTCCAGCAGGTGTAGCTCCCCACCAATAGATAGAGCCTCCTCGACAGTGCTAGCGGTGCCTGCTCTTATCAGCACCTCTAGCAACAGATCGGGTTGTTTGTGTCAAAAATATATATATATATATATATAAAATAAATCTCAGGGGACGATGGACCCGTTTTCCAGCAGGTGACAGTTCCCCACCAATAGACTGGAGCCCCCTGCAAGACAGGTAGTAGTGTATGCTCTTACCATCACTCCTAACTGTTATCTCAGGCGGATTGGTAAGAGAAAAAGAGAGGAAAAAAACGGATGAACTATAGCAGAGGGAAACCTCACATGTTACACATAAACCCTAAAACCGGAAACCTCGATAGGAGGAGAACCCCACGAGAAGAAGGGAGCTAGATGGGAGGGTGACGAGAGTGGGGCAATCGTGAGTGGCGCAGTTAGGTATAAACCACCACTACCTTTCCTTTTTGATTTCTTTTTTTTTTTTTTGAAGAATTGCCCCATGGGACAGTTTGAGATGCTGGTAGGAGCAGTCGCCTCAAGCTCTCCCGGGGTGGCTCCATCTATTGGTGGGGTGCAGCACCTGCTGAGAAGCCGGCCCAGCGTCCCTTATTACAATTGTTCAATATAGCATTCACATCAGACGTTTTAGAGCCTGGAAGGGGAGTGACTGTGCAGCCCAATCAAAGGCCAGTAGTGGTGTGCCTACTAGGATGCCTAACATGTTGACTGCCCTTCCTTTCTTTTATCATATTGACTGAAACTGGGGTGTCTTTGATTACCGATCATAGAGTCCCTCGGCTGCTATACCTCATCAACCTCCCAATCCCTGGATCTGCAGGGTCATAGATGTTGAGACTCCTCTTGGCCCTTCCTTTTCTCCCTGTGGCCATTTGCTGGATTGATCCCGGAAACATGACCTTCCAAGCTGTAGTGGCATTTGGGAAAATGACCTCAAACACAAATTTTGGGGGTCCGGCGGAGGGTAGGCATGAAAGCAAAAGGAAAGAAACCATTGGGACCCTGTTGGTGCGCCGTAAGAAAAAAAAGAATGAAAAAAACACCGATGAGAAATAATGCAGCCACTTCGGGGAACCCTCATGGAGGTGGAAGTCACATCGCTCCTTTGTTTTTTTTTGTTTCCGGACGCGGCGGAGGACGCATGGTCGCTGGAGACCGACGGATCGTAGCTTCGTGTCTGGTATAGGAAATCGGGAAAGGGTTATCTGACCGTGCGTTAAATAGAGAGATCGACGGCCCGGATGTAATCCACACATCGATTCAGAATGTTGGGGTCCTTCATTGTTGCGAGGCCTGGACACATGGCCCGAAAGATGGTCGGTTTTTTTTTTTTTTTTTTTTTTTTTTTTTTTT